GTTATGTTCCGTTATTTTAAGTACGTTAAGTACGTTATTGTAAGTACGTTACGGACGTTGCAAGTACGTTATGTTCCGTTATTTTAAGTACGTTAAGTACGTTATTGTAAGTACGTTACGGACGTTGCAAGTACGTTATGTTCCGTTATTTTAAGTACGTTAAGTACGTTATTGTAAGTACGTTACTGACGTTGTAAGTACGTTATATTCCGTTGTTTTAAGTACGTTATAGGTACGTTACGGACGTTGTAAGTACGTTATATTCCGTTATTTTAGGTAAGTTACGGACGTTGTAAGTAGGTCATATTCCGTTATTGCAAGTACGTTAGGTACGTTATGGACGTTGTAAGTACGTTATATTCCGTTATTTCAAGTACGTTAGGTACGTCATGGACGTTGTAAGTACGTTATATTCCGTTATTGTAAGTACGTTATGGACGTTGTAAGTACGTTATATTCCGTTATTTCAAGTACGTTAGGTACGTCATGGACGTTATATTCCGTTATTTCAAGTACCTTAGGCACGTTATGGACGTTGTAAGTACGTCATATTCCGTTATTTCAAGTACGTTAGGTACGTTACGGACGTTGTAAGTACGTTATATTCCGTATGTTAGGTACGTTAGGTACGTTACGGACGTTTTAAGTAGGCCCCTACGTCATATTCCGTTGTTTCAAGTACGTTAGGTAGGTACGTTACGGTCGTAGTACGTTATATTCCGTACGTTAGGTACGTTACGGACGTAGATATTCTCAAGCGTAACATTTTTAACAGATTCACTAACATGTGAAGCAATAAAGCAACACCATAAATAAACGAACTAAATCAAATAATAATATACTAATCTGTAATTGTATGTTTAGTAGTTATTCTTAGCATATTAGTTACGTTTTACTTTAGCTAAAATAAAATATATATCAGCAGTAAACAATCTCAAATACTCCCTGATATATATTGTAGTCACGTGATTCGCACTACCTTAGTAGAAGTTCTGTAGTAGACTGATAGAGACAAGACAAGACAAGACGCAACGTTCACTGGTGTTTTACTAAATCTCTAATACAATACATGAAGTCTTCGTGCACTACCGAAAGCAAGAGCGGTTACTACACACTACACCTTTCTCAGCGGGTTGCTGGTACAAGAGCCTCCCCCGAGAACGGTGGCTGGCACAAGAGCCTCTCCCGAGAACGGTGGCTGGCACAAGAGCCTCTCCCGAGAACGGTGGCTGGCACAAGAGCCTCGAGAAGCGGCTGCTCTCCACTATTTATACGGCGTTCCCTTTCCTACGTCACCTCTCGTTATAGCTCCCTTCTCTGGCCAACCGGCCATACTAAATAAGGTGTGGTGAGCCTTGCAACTGCTATATTACACTACCGAATAAGGTGGGGGTGCGTATTTCCCTTTGGCTCAGATCCATAGATCATCTGGTCAGTGTCTAGGCTGTCACAATGCGCAAGGATTCGGGGATTCATGACCGGGCTTCCAGCTAGACGGCGCCATCTCGAGTCACGGTTCTCTTTGACCTCCGTCCCGCCGCTGACTCTCCCGTCCCTGTTTCATACATTCTCCTGACACCGGTTGCATTCTCGCATTGCCATAACTTTCCCAGGCGTGTGGGGTTTCGCCGGCTTACAATATATATATAA